CAAAAAATCATTGTACCTGTCTCTTGATTTTTGTAGTGAGACCATATTCGTGATTTTCCCAAAACAAAGAGAGTAGCTGTGCATACGATATTACGTCCGGATTATACTCAACATTGACGACTTCCGTATGATCTCCACTGCAAACGAAAAAGTAATGCCTGATATATAACGATTAACAAGTTTATTATTAAAAAAAAAAAAAGAGTAACTGAGCTATTAATATTTGTACAATAAGAGAGAATCGATAGAAATGTGAATGTTATCTTTGATAATTGTTTCCACTGCATAATTTATAAAAACTGCATTATATAAATTGTTGCACAAAATTAGAAAATCGTTTTTAAGCGTGCCTAGTTATTTTTAGAAAATGAAATCAGAATGCCACAGGAACGTACATATCTCTGTAAGTTGGCAATTCTTTTTGTCCACCGGCGTATCCAACGCAAGTCCTGATTACACCGGGTAGGACACCGAAAAGGCAATCGCCAGCCCAGAAGCATCCCATTCCGAATGTTGCATGCTTCGCTTGGATCTCTTCGAATTGTCCTGGCATCTTACTCGACTATTATCATCGACACGTGCCAAATGACGCAGAAGAATATAAAAGAAAAGAAACGTTTGAAATTAGATACACGACTACAAAGGATAACCTAAAAGATATGAGTGGAAATCATTCGATCCCGCAATGATGGTTTAATTTGATAAAGAAACGTGAAACCTGCTAAGTAATGGTTACGCTGAAGATGATCAATGAAATAGTTTTCCAGTGAAGAGTTTTTAATTCTTAGACTTTCTCAACGTTGACAGAGTTACAAAAACTTTGAACACAATACAGGAATATTTTCAAAATCACGGTTTTTTGATGGATATTGATATTAGACTGAAAAGAATGTCTCTGAACATGAATAAAATCAATTACAAATATTTTGATAACGATCCTCATTTGGAGATTTATATATCGCATGCTTAAGAAATTATTTTTATTCATTTCGTACTGTTATGTTTAGAAATGATTTTTTCGTGACACCCGTTATATATAAATTACAAGTGTGTTGCGTATGCAAAAAAAAAGCGCGAAGAAATATACATGGTGAACTACATAACTTGATCACCTTCATCATTTCCGTTAATGAAAATTATTTTGAGATATATTGTTTCGTAATATCATATTTTTAAACCTCAAAATTCTTTTCAATCCTTAAGCATGTAACATTATTATCCTTTCTTATAAAAATTCTATTAATTAATTTTTTTAATTAAATTTTACTCATCAAAAATAGATATATCTTCACGGTCTCCAATTATTTTAGAGTAATACAGTCACAGTTAGAAGTACGAAAGTAGAGTAATTTTATCGATTAATCTTAGAAGATAGTTAAAATATTATCCATCGATTTCAATGTACTTGAATAAGGAATGTCTATCTAGTTCAATCACACGTAATTGAAGGTGGATCTATTATGTGCCGTCAAGTATTTTTCATGGCTAAACGAATTTTTTTTAAATCTTATTGTTTCACTGAAAAAGAAATAAATATATTAGATTAACAATAAAAATATAATTATTTATCCTTTCAATTATTTACAAAAGTGTTATCTAAAAAATTTTTTTAGAACCATTCTGTTTTCGGTCGAAAATGTAACTAATCAAGGATATTTATAAAAAAGTACTGAATAAAAAGTCAAATATAAACTAATATATAATTTGTTCCGTAAGTGACAGACGTAACTCACAATTAAACGGTTTAGATACATGATCTGATGACATATCTTTTTACGCGAAAGATTTGACAAATTGAAATTTGTGAGATAACAACTTTCACTGATGATTTCGATAATTGGCAAAAATAATCAAAGTTAAATGACTGTTGATCGGAAAAAAATAAGTAAGAATATCTGCTGTCTTGTTTACTTTTCAAAGAATTATTTTATTCTAATATTTATTAGTATATGTTATGAAAAAAATTGCTTACCTTATTTCACGATAAAAAAAAAAAA